ACCGACGGTTCGGGCCGGTTCTATGAACTGGCCCTTCGTTCCTAGCGGGCCGATCGCGATTCGCCTGTTTGAGGGCCCGTGGCCCGGCGGGCCGGGCCGGGCCCGAACCCGGCACCTGGCCAAGTCTAGTTGTGGGTGCAATTAATGAGTCGATCCTTACTTACATTCCAAATGGGAAGTCAAATCAATTGAGAAATCAATATTGAAAGTAGATGTGTAGTTAAAATAGTTGAACTTTTTTTTTTTCCAACTATATAAGTGATATAAAACACAAAGCACAAATGTGCGAATACACAACAGCCAACGGCTGAATACACCTCAACCAACAACTGAAAAACACAAGAAAACAGAAAAGGGAGGACAGGTCAGAAGACCGCCTAAGATCCCGACTAGATCCCGACTAGCAACGCTAGAATAAAAACACTACGCGAAATAACTAACGAAACACAGACAAACTAAACTGACTACAAGACCCCAACAGAGTATTACCCGAGTGTCGGACCCCAACAGGGTAATACCCGAGTGTCAACCCCAACAGGGTAATACGGTGACACTCGGGCGCGCAGGGTGACACTCGAGCGCACAGAGGCCAACGGCCCAACAGAAAACACAGAAATTAGACGCAAACCAACACAAAACAAGACAACACAAAACAAACATACGCTAAACAAAACGAATATAGACAAACAACGAAGAGTCTTTCCCACAGCAGAAAGCCACGCCGAACAAAACAGTGGCAGAGTCGAACCCAAAATCCCAATCTAGAAACTGCAGGAGCGCCCAAAATCCCACAGCAGAAATAGTTGAACTTTGAATGTATTTGTTTTCGTATCCACACACACACATATATACACTTATATTTCACAAAATATAAATATATGTAATGTAAAATGTAAATGCATATTAAAAATTATAATAAGATATATATGTATTTTTGCTAATATCTATCGCTGCGAGACAATTGTATAGTGATATTTTATGTGGCACCACTAAAATGACTACTTAAATTATTTTTTACTCCACATTTCATCAAATAAATGTTGTCGTGTAGTCTATTATTATTAATTGGTTATAAACTATATTTTATATATTTGCAAAGTAAACAAAATTATAAATTCTTATTATCATGCATGCATTTGAGACATTTTTTAAAACAAGCAAACTCAACATACATGTTTGATTCTATCAACCTAATTTATCACCATCTGACATAATTCTAAAATTACAATTTAATAACATTAGAGATCACATTAATCTAATTTATATTATTTGGTAGAATTTTTAAATTACATTTCAACTAGTACAACCCCCGTGTATTACACGGGTGTTTGTTAAAAATTATTCTTAAATTTTAAAATTAATGAGAAAACTATATTAAATTTAGTTTACTTTTTACAAAAAAAATATATTATTATATATTTTTGAATGATATGTGTTACTTATGACTTACATGTGTTATATTATATTAGTTTTTATAACTTATATCATATAACTACTTGAAATATAAATATATTAGTTGATAAATAATATTATTTTTCTAATTAATATTAAAAATAATTTTATTATTGTTATAAAGATAAATATAAATTTATTTTTTATACATACAATATGGATGTTAAATCGAAACTCATCAAAAGAAGATTAATTTGATATATTACAGACGTAAAACTGATAAAAAATACAAAAGTTATTAACTTTTAAAATATATATACAATTCAATAGTTATAATAAGGAATGATATTAAAATACAATTAATACATGTAACATGATCATAAATAATCAACATATTTATGGTAATCTGAACCTAATTATTTTTTGTTTGGAATTAAATTAAAATTTACCCAAGCCTAATAACCAAGTATGTAATTTTACCACATAAGATTTCGAAGCACCCGAAACAGTCACGTAGGCTCAACGCGTTGTGAATTAATATATAGGGGATAACATTAGAGAATCTCTTAAATGAGGTAACATAAGATTTTTCTTTTCTTTTATTTGCAATGTATTTTATGGGTAAAACCCATTTATATGCGGTAAAAAAAGTGGAGTCACTGTAATATAATATAAAGGAGAAGAAAAAACGTTGGTTCCGGTTTTCAGCAAGAGTTTGTTGGGAGAAAAAGAAAGCTAGAGAGAGAAACTTTGGCAAAGGCAAACAAACGCCTTCGAGTGGCTTCTTTTCATATCTTCCCCCTTTTTTAATTTTATTTCTAGCGACATACTTTGCAAGCAAACTAAGCCCAACAACCATTGAAAGGATCTTGGGCATACTTGCCGAGTTCTACTCTTGCTTGATCTGTGAGCATATTTAATTGTGTTTGTTACTACTGTTATTGCAATTCGTTTTTTGTTGTTGTAGGGGGCTTCTTTTTTTTTTGGGTGTAAGATCACTTGATCTAGAAATGCCCATTCTTGATTTGTATTTGCATTTCGTTTGTAGGGATTATCGAAGGTGGCAGATTGTAGAAAACAGTAGATTTTGCTGCTGTTGTGTTGGTGGGGGTTGTCTTAGATGAGTTTTTGCTGATGGGATTTGTGGGTTTGGTGTGGATTTCTTGAATTAGGTTCTGATTTAGGGTTTTATTGATTAAGGGGAAAAAAAAGTTACGGCCTTTGGGGTGGAACAAAAAAAACGCCAGCTTTATGAGGATTTTTTTGAAGGGTTTCATTGATGTGAGCCTGTGATCAATTGAACCGTTCTGAAGCTTTGTATATCGCTGTATTTTGTTTTTGGGTTTTGATTTGTGCTTTTGAGTTGAGTATTTTAACTTGAGTCAATAGAGATGTATATTGAGGAACTGAAAGAGGGAGGTTCTGAGAGTGGTGAGCACCAAGTTTGTAGTGATCTTTATGATAGCGGTGCTTTGGTTGTTTGGGACCCAAAAAAGGTTTTAGTTGGAGCCGGGGCCCGTGCCCTTTTCTATCCGACATTGTTGTATAATGTTGTCAGAAACAAAATCCAGTCCGAGTTCCGGTGGTGGGATAAGGTTGATGAGGTATTTATAACTAACATCTTGATTCTAATGCTTTGAAAAGTTTTCTTTTGAGATTATCTTTATATTAACTGAAGATTTATGGAGTTTGTTAATGGCTGCTCTCTGAATATATCTTCATGTAAATGTTCTGGTCCGGTTTGCGTTTTACTGATTCTCATAACAACACAGTGATTATTTAATTATTATTTTTTGTATACAACTGATTGATGAGGCAATGTAGTGTTTCTTGCTGTTCATGCTTCTATCAAAAATGTATATTCTATATAAGGGAATGTTTTATTTGGTGAAATTGACAAGGACACAGAATCACAAATCACATCTTGAGGTCATGCCTACAGGGAGCAGAAGTGAGCGGAGATGACTTAACGAGATAGTTCGCTGTACTAAAAATATTGTTTATTATTATTGTTTTACTATTTTTATATTTTGGCGGTGAATCACGCCTGGATGGCGTCATCAAAGCCGTGAAGCTATGAATTTGGACAATATTACAAGTATCTTCTGGTTGTTTTTAATATGTTACCTTTAATGGTTGTTGGAAGCTTCTCAATATCAGGGAAAGTTCCTAGAAAGAGTCCTTTTATAAGTATCTTATCTAACAAAAAATGGAATGTTGTTTTTTATAATACAACTGGAAGTGTTGGGTTTTACCCTAATATGTTAGCATTCAAAGATTTATTTGAATAAATGATGCTTGAAATCTTGCAATCTGAAATTAGTTGAATTGGATTTCTGTAGATATATAAGAACAATACTGTTACACGACACGTTCTCTTGTTTGTGTCTTTCTATCTACTTTGCTGCCTATATTGACTCATTCTCCTTTTGTTAGTATGTTTTGCTAGGAGCCGTTCCATTTCCCACTGACGTGCCTCGCTTGAAGGCTCTTGGTGTAGGTGGGGTTGTTACCTTGAATGAGCCATATGAGACATTAGTCCCGACGTCATTATATCATGTAAAGCTAATTTTGCTCAACTAATTTTTTTTCCCCCTTTTGAACATCTTTCATGCATTTTAAGTTTCCTTTTGGTAGTCATTTAATTTTATATATGAATTATTGAATAATTTCGTTATTGTACTTTTTATCATTTACCAGTGGAAAATTCAACACATACCTTTTTTTTTTCTTTTTTTTTTTTTTACTT